GTTTGCTAAAGAAATTTGGAATGGAAGAATGCAAACCAGTTGCAACGCCTGCCGATCAAGGAACCAAATTACTACCTAATGATGGAGAACCAGTCGAGAAAACCAAGTATCAAGCGTTAATTGGAGGATTAACTTACGCGGTTACTGCTACTAGACCTGATCTCGCTCAAGCATTAGGAATGGTTAATCAATTTTGTTCAAATCCAGGAGAAGAACATTGGACAGCGGCGAAACGTATTACGATACATTAAAGGAACAATTGGTTACGGAATTACATTCGATGGAACTAAAGAAACAGATATCCAATTAAGTGGCTATGTAGATGCGGATTGGGGAAGCAACCCAAATGGACGTAGATCACAATCAGGGTATCTATTACATTATGCGGAGGAGTTATCAGTTGGGCAAGTAAAACAGAATGTTGTGGCACTTTCTTCTACTGAAGCAGAATATGTTGCGGCAACATTAGCATGCCAAGAAGCAGTTTGGTTACGTGCTTTACTCGGAGAAATAGGTTTGTTCAGAGGAAGGCAACATTAATCAAAGAAGACAATCAAGGAACTATCGCACTATCGAAGAATCCAAAGTATCATCCTAGAACGAAGCATATCGACATTAAATACCATTATATTCGCGATAAAGTAGATAACAAGGAAGTTGCTCTTGGATATTGTCCTACTGGCGACATGTTGGTGGACTTGTTGACTAAACCATTGGGAAAGACAATGTTTCAACGAATGAGAGGACTAATGGGAGTTAAGTTAAACTAAGCTATAAACCTTTTAACGGACAGGATTTATGTATATTACAGTTCATATTTTTCGAGAGGGAGTGTTGAAGATTATTAGATACGAAAAAGGAACTGTAATACAGTTTCATATATATAGATCAGTTTTGGATCATGTGACTTTTGTCAAACACGTTGTTATTTCGTTTCATCTGGTTTTGTCAGTTTATAATATATTATCTCATGAATATGTAGTGTGTTTCTTGCTTTAAAGCCGAACTATGTAGTTCAAATTTAACAATATTAGCCCCCACTTAACAATAATCTGACGTGCTTGTTTGTAGATAAACTGGAAATAGATTCTCTATATCTTAAAATTACAGATAAATACCCGTAATTAACACAATTATGGTTGGTATTACTCCCCCTAAAAATTTTAAACTGGTAAAGTTGGTCAAACTGGAAAAATGGTCCTCTCTACACATGTTTGCCTTAATGAAGCCTATCCAGCCTTTGTTGCACAAATTCGTTGATGTACGCCCGCTGTACGATTGTCTTATAACCGAATCGTCGCTCGAGAAGTTTTACGGCCGCTTCGTAGTTTATGGACGTCAACGCAAACCCTGCAGTCACCGATTTTGCAGGCTCCTGGAGCAACCCTCCCAGATAAGTGAACTTGTCTATGTCCGACAAGGATTCGTTTTCGTGAATGGCGCTGCTGAAGGCGTCCCAGAACTCTGGCCATTCTTGTACTTTTCCCGAGAACTTCCAAACTTAGAGTTTAGGAAGCTTTACCCGCGCTTGAGCGCTAGCCTTGGCCCTCGATGTTTCTTGTTGCAACTCGGCTTGCCGATTCCATAATTCAACCCTTTTTATGGCCATTTCAATCGCCGCTAACCCCTCGTATATCTCGTTGGACGTTTTCGACGCTGACTCTATTTCCGTTTTGACGTCTCCGTCATCTTCAATTTGTCCTAAAATTTGCTCATCTAGCTTCTTTATTGTTTCTCTCTTATCTGATAAGCTGAGCTTCAACGTATTAAGCTCCAACACACTTTCTCCTGTGACTTCTTCTACTAGAGTTTTGGCCCATGCCAAACTCCTGGTGACATAGGCTCGACGCCCGCCTCTCTCTGCTCGTTTTCTCAATATACCTGACATAGCTTCACTTCGATACTCAATTTCTGCTGAATTCTTGAACCTGCTCGTAATCCGGCTCGAAGGACCACGTGTCGCGCAACTTCGCCTCTCTGCAAGTTACGCTGCTGCTGGCACCAGATTCAACGAATACCACAACTCGGGGACTGTATTTTTAACTTTTATTAACTCTCTATGTACAGGTATATTTTGTACACACTTTTAGTGCACGTCGATGACACAATACTCCTAAGACAACACGCTTAAGAAAGACACACTTGCTCTGACGTTACGGTGACAACACACCACACAATACAACTCTCCTAATAACACTAACCTAAAGTTTACAATTCTACATATATTTATACTAAAGCTATAGGGGATATTATTCCATTTTGACAACAATTTCCTTTGCGCAATTTATGCACGTCCCAGGATGTTTTTTCCCGCAACGCGGTTAACTCTCTAACCGCACTGCCCCCATTCTTCCATCTGTTTGTGTTAGCGTGTGGGACAGGCGGTTTCCTTCTTCGTGGTTGGATGTGCGTTTGTTTGCGCGCATTATTTCCCCTGTTTTCAAGTTTATTCTATTTCCACAAAATGAAAAATATAATTAATGAATATATTATATATATATATATATATATATTAATAATACACACACAACAACTGTACAGACAAACATGACATTTGACACATTTTCACGACAGCCTTTAACCAAGCCTTTAGCAAGGGGTAGCAACGGTAAAGAAACACTGAAAATATAAGTATTAGTTAATCGTATTCTACCAGCATCTTATTATTTCAGTTCGTGATTCACAGGTAAATGTCTTTTGATTCCACTTCGTGTTAAATATTCTGTCTTTTTTCAAAGAGATTTTGAGTCAACACTGATCAATAGTCGGTTAAAAAACTAAAGCAGACGTTATTCTTAAATTCTGAGCATTGTATACTTATATGTACATTTAATGCTTACAGTACATAACGTACCTTACTTTTGTTCTCAGCTGGTAAAGATGTTGATACATGTGCAGACGTTGTCGCGCCTGAGAATGTACTAGTATTACTAGTGCTTCTACCTTTCTGTTTGTCCCTGATCTGTTGCACAAGCTTGCATACTTGGTTTTCATGTTTAACTGAAAAAAAAAGCTTTTACAAAAATCATTGGTTCGTGTATACTGTTTTGCAGAGTCCAGATTAGAAAAACAGTGCATTCTAATTCCTTTAGGCCTTGAACTCAGCCTAAGCCAGAAGGGTCATCTTAATTATTTGAAATATTAATTTATGTGGAGGTAAGTTATCATGAAAAATAGTGTGACAGATGTTGATCTCCTATAACGCTCTGCGCACCTGAATTGGTTATTATAATAACAGAACATTTCAACTTGCCTATATATCAATTTGAATAACATACAATTAGAAATCCTACAATCTTGATATCTTCGGACATTATATTAAGATATTATGCATTATGGTGACCAAGACATGCCAGCGATGCCATACCATTGAGCTGTATGTAAACTGGAACAAAACATCCCTATGTTAGCTTGAAACCAAAATCTTTCTTCTCAGTTTTGAGACGAAATACTTGACGCCAGAAGTTGGGCTGTGAATCAAATTAATAGTTACATTCGCTGTGGAAATTTCAAGACTTAAAGTACAAAGGAAATATTTAAAAAAACAAAAACAATTAAAACCTGATAGAAAACTAAGAAATTTTCAAAAAAATTTTAGATAATATTTAACTCATTGCCGTCTGGTCGTAAACGACGCAGGCAAAAAATTTCGATTTTATCTGCAAGTATTTTACCAAATCAACTAGAAATTGTATTATCTTAAAGCTAAAACATTTATCTATATGTGTAAGTTTAGTTCATTTCAATAGCTTTCGTATAAGCCAAGATATTTATTGCCGATCTTGTACTTTTGAAATTGAATTTTAGAGAAGCGAAAATACGCAAAGCCTTCCAGAAATCTCGCCTAAAAACCTCCAAATGTTTGTAGCTTACATTGTGATCAATATTTCCTTCTATTTCGCTTGAAATACAGTCGTTTTGGCGATTTGTAGTGATATTTCCAACAAACGTGTTTACAAAGGCAATTGATAAAAGGAGAATAGTGTGAATAGTCGGCGAATAGTGCGAATAGTCGGCGAATAGTCGACGAATAGTGCGAATAGTCGACGAATAGTGCGAATAGTCGACGAATAGTCGGCAAACACACTAAATAGTCTGCGCCCAGACCAGACGCAGAACTGATACCCGAGCGCCCACCTGCTGAGCCGCGCGGACTACAAGATGTATTAAACACGTCGCAGATGGAGATGAAGCTCTTATCAACGCACTTATAGCCGCGTTTCCAGAGGCAACTGATCTTTGTTGTTTTCTCCATTCTATGCAGAATCTGAAGATCAAGATATCCGAATTCAACTTACAGCCAATCCAAGCGCGGTTATTACTTGATATATTTGGCAAGCAGGATGAACACGAAGTAGTTTGCTGCCTTCTCAACGCTTTTGATACCCAGGAATTCGACGCGAAACTTGCTGCCTTAAAGAGTAAATGGGATCAACTCGAAACGGTCCGATGTCCAAAGTCCTCTCTAGCTACGTCCTTCCATAGTTGGTTTTTGCAATACCACGCACCTTACATGCGTGAATCCATGATCTCCTCTGTTCGAGCTTGTGTTGGCCTCAAAGGAGAGCCCACACCTTGGTACACGACCAATAACAACGAGTGCATTAACAAAGTATTCAAGAATGATGTTGCCACAAAGGTTTCAATTCCCCAGTGTATTGAAAAAATAGAAGAGTTTCTCAAGTCACAGTCGTGTTAAGTCGAGCTTGCTATCACAGGTGAAGGTCTCTACCGTTTCCGCGAAAGTTACCGGGATTTAGAGGTTACAAAAGAAGAATGGCTTAAGAAATCAAAAGAGGAAAAGAAAAAGCACGTCGCTAAAGTGTTTGGGTGTCAAGTTCGGCCTGTTGCTGACAACCAAAATAATGCGTCCACGGAATTAAGCAGCAGTCACCACAATGTCGAGGAGCTTGATCAAGACAGCATCCTTTCAGCACCTATTCACAGAGCTCGAAAAATTTCTATTTCCCATTCCGAATCTGAATTTCTGTCAATATTCCTCCTCACTCATTGGCCACTATGTGGAGGAAAGAGGAAATAATCATAAATTCTGAGAGTGCGATATGCAAGGTGGTAGGAAGATTCCATGATGACGACCACGCAAGGCAAGTTGCGAGTGAGTCAAACCTCGTCTGCCTCATTTTGTGTACCAGCACAACACTGGAAAGGTTGTTTATGATGACTGCCCTCTGTACAAAGCATTTAAGATTTGCCAGCACTCTGTAGCGGTGGCCGAGTCACGTGGATCATTGGCCCAATTTCTCAAGTGGAGAAAGTCTGTGTCAAAAGGACAGAATTCGGCTGAAACGCTAACCAAATCTTCCCTGCCTATGGCTACAACAGGGAAGAAAAAAAGCGACAGGAAAAGGTTACCTTAGAAGAAACCCAGCACAACCTCAAGCCGTAATTTCGTTGATCCATTGGACTACGAGCTTACTGTCCCCGAAGAACCGTTGTCTTCCCTTGAATCAACGGTACAAAAATCCCGTGCTGTTGGCGTTAATCCAGAAATCCATATTTCGTCTATTGCAATTCAGAATAATGCCCAGGCAGAGGTAATGTGCAAGTATTTTAACATACATGACTGTCCCAAATTACTCTTTATTAAATACAAAATAGCCTAGGTGATAAAATTGCCAACAAACTGAAAACAAAACTAAGCAATTTTTTTTATTTTAGTTAATTAATTAATTATTTACTTGTAGTTTGTGGATTTACAAATTTCATTTCTTTAACAAATACCATGAATATTTCAAATGTTTTAATTTCAAAATTTGGGAAATGTAATATCTTGACTAGAAATTCCTAAACATTTACGGATAAAACTGTTTCTAGTAAAGCCGGGTCTAGCATTAGTTAATCTTTTAGTGTGTTGCATGTTTGTGTGATGCTACAATGCATTTATACTACATGTAAACATACAATTTCAGAATTCGTGGTTATCCCCAGGAGCCCAATCCTCCAATCAACAGCAAGCAAACTTAATTCAATCTCAGGTAAACATTCCATGGCGAGCGTTAACGTGTTTATTGCATATACTGAAGATGTAGTATTTGTATGTTATCACTCTCATTATCGTCATTCTTATAGCATACTCAACTACTTGGCTCAAACTTTGGCTCAGTTCAATCCCCTATAGTAAATCAACATAATCTTACTGGAAGTGTGATTGGTACACAATTCAACCAAGCAGCGCTTTACTCACAGGTATACAATTGAAATATATACATCGTGCTGTAAACAACATGTAGCAAAAATTGAGCTGAACTAAGTTATATATATATATCTTTAGATTCAGCGATCATTTTTAGTTCAACCACCTCTTGCTAACCCTCGCTACCGCCCTGCTGGTATGATTACCCCTACTGCACAGGTAATTATATACTATGATAAGCGAACAGAAAATATTAGTAAAATTAGAATGACACATTTCCAACATCATTAGATAATAAGCATATTTTAGACAATCATCATTCATGCTCTTTTTTGACATGTAATTTCTTATGTTCATGATCAGTCTCGGGGAATAATGCCACCCGTTCCAGCACCGCAACCGCCGGTACCTGATCATCAACAGTGTAGTCCTTCAACCAGCAAACAATGGCATTCAAGTAACTCCCCGTATCGGTATGAACTAGTGATTCTTACTAATATGGTAAAAAAATGCTACGGTTGTGCTCAGAATTTTGCGAAGTGTTACAGAGAAGCACCGAAGAATGTGGTTGTGCGTCACTATGATAAGCGTGTCAAGGGTAAAGACCCACATGGAAATCTGGTGTACAGCGATGGCTTTCAGGCAGCGTACTACCACCTTAATCCAGGTCACATTATGATGAAAAATTATATGTTTGACGGGCGTGTTATGGTGGCAAGAGAATTCTGGCAGAGTTTGTCGGAAGAGGCTAAAGCAAATGTCTGCGCATCAGGACTACATGTCCAATTTATGTAAATAGAGTATTGTTTTTTCTTATACACTATAATTGCGTTATGTTAGGTTATTTTATGATATACTTATGGGGTTTACTATGTTTGGAACTTTAAGGAACTTTTTAAAAAGTCGATAACTTTGTGTTTTTTTTTCTATACTAAATAATAGATTCTTTGTATATTACTGCCAAGAACACTTATATGAATTGCATTGTTTTCTAACAGGTTTTTGAATTCCCCTCTCCAAAAGAATAGTTACTCTAAAATGTATTGTGGAATTTGTATTATTCGTTTTGTAAAGTATGGTCGGAATTCAATCGCTAGAAGAATATGTCACAATGCGACTATTCGTTGACTATTCGCACTATTCGTCAACTATTTGCACTATTCGCCGACTATTCGCACTATTCGTCGACTAATCGCACTATTCTCCTTACAAACGGAAAATCTGAAAATTTGCATATAATTATCACCATATTGGTGAAAATTTGACAAAATGTTGGAAAATTTTTCGCTCCAAAAAAGCCGAATATATGACTTCTAGGGAATTTTTACCCCAGGAATCGATATCCGGGCTTATTTTACCCCTAGGGGGTAGGCAACGTTGAGTTTTTGACACCTCTAAGCTCACGCGACAACCGCATGTGCGTGCGCTAAGCAACGCGTTAAAAACAATAACAAATCGCTACAAACAATAACAAATCAGAAAAATCAATATTTTTCGAGTTTTTCTGCCCATACTGACTCAAAAACTATCAGAAAAGATAACTAAAGCATTTCTAGTTTATATATAACGGTTAAAATACGAAAGGATGAAAAATAACAAAGAAAATAACGAAATTCAAAAGGCGAGTTATATTTCCGGTGGTCATCACCTTGTAATTTGACATGATTTTGACAGCTGCACTGCGGTGTCAGGTTAACAGAAATATTTATTAATTTCCAGATTAAAACAGAAGTGATTGGGTTATAGTATTTTTCTCGAGCTATATTTTGGTGGTATTTATGTGTTTTTTGCTCGCGCATTCGCAAAGCTATTGGAATTTTAAAAAATTCGGACTCTAACGTCCGAAATTAATCTACACCGGACGGGAATGCTAAAATCTCGAAATTTCTACACGAAATATAACTTTTTAATAGCTTTAATTTAATATATGGCTCAACATTTGGCGTCAAGTATTTCAGAAAAAGTAAAAAGCACTAGCTTCAATTTCCTCCCCTGAGATATCGTTCCAGTTTGTTTAACTTCAATGTGTTATACATATAACTGAAAAACAGAATGTCTAATAGCATTCAGAATTTTGACTTTAAGAGTCATATACAGTGCGTACCATTACAGGTGGATTCGATCGCAGATTTGAATTCTCCGATTTCACCATATTGCAAACCAATTCACTCTAACTGGTCGTCAGTTAGTTGCTGAAGTGATCTGATACTGTACACCTGTACATTTTAAAAGTTATTTTACTTTTAAAGTCATGCACAGCGTTTATATTATCAGGCTCAGCTTTTTTCCGAGTAAAATAAGCCACACTTAAAGGCGTGGTCTGATGTGAGTACTTTTCTTCGAAGTTTAATTCTGTCAAATAACCAATGAAAGGGCTCATTCAATCAGATTTAGACAGCCTATTTAACTCCCTCCCCAAGAGAGTGTTTATGCCTATATTGATTTTAAAGAGTCATGTTCAGGGCACTATAATTGATTATGTCACCTGGAAACGTGGTGAATTTTATTCAATTCAGTGTGCTGCATCAATTGTTTAGGTGAGACAATATAAAAAGGGATGCATGAGAATTTTCTATCAGTATTTAATTATTGTGTCAAAGCATGTACAACAGATATTTTATCAGCTGCTACACCTACAATATGTGCTTTGCACAATTTACAGGGGTTGGGTTTTGTAATTTAAGTCGTTTATGACACCCTTTTATTAGAAGGTTGTTAGGCCTATCATATCTATCATACCCTACGTATATTCTAGGAGTGCTACTTTTATTGTTTAATTTTCCCTGACTTGTCATTCAAGTAAGCCGGATTGCTACCTAAAAGAAATGGGTTGGGTAAGCCATCCTTCTGTAAAAGATTTTAATAGTGGTGTTTACAGCATAAGTATCTAGATACAAGTGACTATAATTGCATGCAGCAGAATCCTAATCCCTATACTAATTATGTACATAATTACACATATATTACATCTCTCTTTTTTTCTTTTCAAAATGTTGAAAACTGTATTACTATTTATAAAGACCTAGAACCTAATGTTCTTGTGCATTCTATATCATTGACAATAAAGTTTTTTAATTACACGCACTACTATTTCTAAGTGTTAATGTATTGGCCATATCTCTCAGGTTTGTGAACTGCCCTTCCAGATCTAGTTCTATAGACGTTTTGGTGGGTCTCGACTGTAGTTTGTCCAAGTTCCTCTCTAGCTTTCTCTTCTGGTTCCTCTGCTCTCACTTGCGAATCAAACGCACGTCTTGATGCAGGCTCAATTACTGTCTGAATGTGCCGTCGGTTTCTCTGTAGCCAACTACCATTTTCATTTTCTACCACATATGACCGTGGTTCCTGGCATTGTCTGCGTACCGTACCTTGTTGCCACTCTTTGGTTCTGTTATCTTGAATTCGGACTTCTTGCCCTGGAATTAGTTGAGGAAGATCACGAGCATGCTGGTCATAGTACGTTTTTTGTCTCTGTTGTTTCTCAACAAGACGTGCATGGACCTTATCCCTTCGGTGATCCCTATCAGGTATTCTTACAGGATGATTTCCTTGCAGCTTACGTCCAAATAATAATTCTCCAGGATTTGGGATGCTGCTGTCTACTGGTGTAGTGCGAATGCAAAGAAGAACCATTTTGGGATCATTCTCACTAGCCTTTGCTTTACGAAATGAATTCTTGACAATTTGAATGAACCGTTCAACAAAACCGTTTGACTGGGGATAATGCGGCGAAGATGTCACATGTGAAAAGTTCCATTCTTTCTCAAATGCACTGTACAATGAAAAACTAAATTGAGGTCCATTATCACTCACGACTTTCTGAGGAATTCCTTGCTCTGAGAATATCTTCTTAGTTGCTTCGACAACGGCTTTTGTGGTAGAATGAACAGGCATCTTTTCTACAAATGGAAACTTTGAATAATAATCGACTATAATCAAGTAATTATCCCCTTCAAACTCCAACAAATCTGTCCCTACAATTTGCCACGGACGAGTGGGAATATCATGAGGGAGCAATGTCTCCCTGATCTGTGACTTCCTGTACTGTTGACAGGTAGAGCATTGTGCACTGGTCATCTCTATATCCTTACTTATATTGATCCAAAAAACACAGTCTTTCGCTCTGAGTTTAGATTTCTCTACTCCTTGGTGACCTTCGTGAAGCTTGAATAGTATAGTTGAGGTTAGGCTTCGTGGAATGACTATTCGTGGACCCTTTAACACAAGACCATCCTCCACAGCCAACTCATCCCTAAATGACCACTATGGTTGGATTTGTTTGGGTATGTCTCTCCTCTTCTCTGGCCAACCCACCACAATCACTTCCATTAGCTGCCTTAATTCTGCATCCTGCCTAGATTCCTGTCTTATCTGATCAAGTCGTTGCTGTGTAAATTGGATATGATGGATTTGCAGATCTAGGTCTATCGCTGTGCTATCTGTACCTGGAGAACGCAAAAAACTGTCTGCCAGCAGCATTTCTTTTCCTGGTAAATATCTTATCTTCACGTCATACGTTTGGAGACGAAGTAACATTCTTTGCAACCTCAGGGGAGCGGCTGTTAATGGTTTCAGCTGGATCAACTGTTTCATCCTCTACGTTAAAGTATGTGAGTGTGATTTCATGACAAATAAGTCCTTTAATCTTTCGAAAGTCTCGCTCATGCGATTCTGACCACACATAGTCAGTTTCTTTCTTAAGGAGGTTTCATAAACTTGCTGTATGCTCTGCCAACTTTGATTTGTGGGACTTTAAGCTCACATTTTTCACTGTTGAACACCAACCCGTATTTCTTTGCTACTTCCATTAAGTTGAGTAGGTTCCAATCATGTTCCGCCTCTGTTTTCCCACATACCGCAATATCATCAGCTATGCTGACTGTCCCGGGACATTTTTCAAGAATCTGATCCATTCTGTGTTGGAAAACATCTTGGCTCATTACCATAGAGATGTAATATATGTGTAATTATGTACATAATTACACATATATTACACCTTCCAGGGTATGAGGGGTTAGGTGAATATTTTTTTGAACAAAGCTTTTGGTCTCGCAACATTCGTTGTGCATGCATGGATCACAGAATCCTGCACGAAAATTTAGATAGATAGACAGATTTAGATTGAGGACGGGAATGCCAAAGACGATGTGAAAATGGCGCGATGTGCCCATATATGGATGTGCCACGCCATTTATTTGCGATTTTAACATCGTCTTTGGCGTTTCCCTCCTCAGCACGGAAGAACGATTTGCCCTAACTACAGAAACTCTGATTGGGTTGTTTAGAGTTCCAAACTTCCGCTAACAAAATAAATTTGGCCTTTGTTTCATTGTAGTTCTTTTTTAAAGCAAATACATGAATAGCGTAATACTCAATACAAGTCCGTTTATGTAAAAATTGCCCAAATTTTGTACATATTTAGAAGCATAACTAAGCAAATAGAGCTAAATATTCAAACATGCAGTCGATCAGATGTTAAAATAATAGCAGTGCAAATGTAAACAAATCGTTTGTTTATATTACGGACTTAACACCACCTTAAATATAACATATAGTGATGTTAAAAATATAAATAGCGGTATAACATACAAATGCCTAGTACCTGATATTGAAATATTTACAGTGAAATTGTACCTTATTTTCCCCAAATTTCTTTAGGAAATGTTTTAAACTTGTGCTGATTTAGGAACTGTATAAACTATGTAGGAAAACACATTAAATAACTAAAATCAGCAAATAAAATAAATAGAGTGAAAGTAATAAACATTATTGAGGGTTTTAAAGCCCTTACTGCATGATGTTGTTGACTAACAACAAACATCGAACAATGAAATTTACAACAAATCTAATTCATAAAATATAAAAATGTTTAATCCATGTGTATACAACAATAACGACTATATAAAAATAATTTTTATTTATATGAATGTATGCTTACAGACTAGTAAAATCTCCTCAAATTTCTCAACGTGACAATCTCTCCACACACCATTTTGACGAAGTACGCTAATACTTTATGTTGTAAAAATGTTTACCCAGTTGACTGCATAACGATTTATGTTAATGTACAATCCATGGTAAAACCTCATTATACACCACAGTCATAAGGTACTAAGGTGGCATGCATGAAACGGATTGTTGTTGTGGAACAACAACATGCAGGAAAGGGTTAATGTTGAAAGGACGTATTTATACCTGATATTTTGGCAGACAATAATCAATGACATGTCATGGTGATGACTATCGTTGCAAACTATTGTTGCAAACTAAATTATTCAAATTTCTTTGATTTTCTGATGCTGTGCATGATGCAGTTGCCAAACCAACATGAACCATTAGATCATCTTGCATTAACAACGTTCTTACACCAAATTTATTTTTATATTATTGATTGTTGAAATACCTTGATCACAATCAATAAACTGTAAATCTTGAAGATCGCTTTCATTTCATTTTTTATAAATTTCTTTTCGAATTTCATGGTAAATTGGTTGAAAGGTGGTATAAAGAAAGAAAATTTGATGAATCATTTCATGGATGTTTTCAATTGAAATATGTTGGTGAAATATGCTGTTTTATGAAATATGTCTTTCCACATTGTGTTGGTCCCGTAATACACATTGTAAATGGATGGGAAATGGATAGTGTTACATTGGTTATCTCGTTTCGCCAAAACAAAAACCAAACGGAAATTATTTATAAAAATCTTTTATAATGTATCTTTTATTCAATGTGAATTTTAATTTTTTACTTTCGGGTAACACCATTACTTGCTGACGATTATTTCATGTAATTTTTCAATTATAATAAATATCAATAATGTGTTCTTTATTTTCCACACACTGTTTTATTGATTCAAAATTAATTTTTGTTTGCTTTGTTATTTAATGAAAAACCTTTTGCATGTGTAATCTCTTCACATTGAATTTCGTTTTTTTTAACTTTTTATTAAAATACGAATATTCATTTCTTAAATACAAATAACACTTTGGGTCCAGTTCTACAAAGACTTGTAATCCCAATTTTGCTACAATTATCCTTTTCCATCAAGTCGCCAAGAAAATTTACAGTTTTCAATAATATTTTTGTTTTTTCCTATTTCAACAAAAAAAAACAGAATCAGTATCATAATACAATACATTTTCTCCTCGTGAATGATTTGTCGGTTACCAGACCCGGATATTTTTGCACAGTTAACAGAATGAACCTTGGGATTGCTGGGAGGCTAATAAATACTTTTTAATGGCATAGTGATGGGAAAAAGAGATCATAGCGCTGTTTTCGGCTTTAAGAACGATAGAAATACCTTGAAAAATAATTTGTTTGCTCCAACATTGGAGTGCTTAGATCTTACTATCTGCATGATGCAAAGGAGAAAGCTAAATGGCAAAATCTTATTAACAGAAAGGATTTTAAAGTCACCCGTAATACGAAGGTATGCTGAAATCATTTTGTTGCTGGGTATTGGTGCAAGGAATGTCCAAATCCTATCCTTTCTATGAAAGGATACAAAGTTAAAAAGGTCAAGAAAAGATTGCCACTTAAACAAGGAAGTGATATGCCTCCATGTCCCAGAAAATTAAAGCGTGAAGTGAGTGAAACGTAAGTGAGAGGAAGACCGCTATCAAAATGACAATGACATGATGTATTACAATACAAGTACACTTCACGATGACATTACCAAGCATGAAAAATTTTTTAGTGATGTTGAAAAGAACGTAACAGTTAAGGAGCAGCAGTCACATGCTTCACAGACAAGTGAGTCCTCTTTGTTTGAAGATGAGGAGGCTAGGGTCTGGAAGATTAATGTAATAGCATTTGTGACATTGGTAAGTTAAGAGAAGGCTTTTTATTAATCAAGCAACAGATCCAGCATTGTGCTATCGGTACACTGGGCGTCAAGGGAAAAGTTGGGCTTAGGCTGCGTTTACACGACCAAATTTTGTTTGACAAATGTCTCCTTCTACTGTATGTAAAGAAGTAGATGAGTTATGAATATATTTGATTATTCGCTTTTCATGAGCAACCATATTGTGTTGTGCCTTAATACACTCAATCATATTCGTCAGGATCAGAAATTTGTCAAAGAAAATTTGGTCGTGTAAACGCAGCCTTAGTGTTTAGCTTTGTAAAAGAAAAAGCTAAACAGTTGAGGTATTGGAGAGGTTCTATTGAACCCCCCCCCTTCCCAAGATGTTAAAAGGGGTCATGTCCCAAGACTATTGACACTATTTTAAGAGTTTATTCTCACCCTCGTCTGAATGAGAAAAGGACTTGATGTTGCATTCTTAGCAGATACATTTGAAATCTCAACAAGTCAAGTGTCCAGAATTTACAACACTTGGATAATATTCTTTTTAAATGAGTTGTCTTTCCTTGTACCATGGCCAAGTAGGGCAGAAATTCAAGAGAAACCTCCAAAACGAATAAAAAGATTTAAGAATCATTATTGATTGTGCTGAATTCTTCCTTCAAAAGCCAAAAGAGAACAAAAAGATAACCTGGAGTAGTCAGAAGCACTGGAACACTGCTAAGTTTCTTATTGGTATCACACCAACTGGTGTTATTTCCTTTATTCCTCCTCTGTGGACAGGGTCAGTATCAGACAAAGAAATAGTCCGAAATTCTGGCTTGGTTAACCTACACCAGAGGAAGGTGATGCTGTCATGGCTGACAAAGGATTTTTGGTAAGAGATTTATTGCTACTGAAGAAAGTCAACCTGATTTCCCCAGTATATTGCCTTGGGCCTAGGCTGTCTTCTCGAGGAACAACCCACACTCGAAGAGTAGCTTCCTTGAGATCTCATGTTGAAATATATAATATTAAGATTAAAATAATTTAGAATTTTATCTGGAGTTATTCCATTAACCATGAAGCCTGCATTAGGCAAAATTTTGTTCTTATGCGCTGCTTTGTGTAATTTGAATAAACAACCAATGAAATTACATTTACTTATATTCTATGGGGATTAAGATGTATTTTACTAGGGGTAAACCAGGGAGCTTAACAATGAGGTTAATATGGCATGGTGCCAAAGACAGTCTGTATGAAGGGTGATCACCGCCAAAATTAGCTTACACAATTTGCAACCACTTACATGCCATTCGGCATTGCTCACGTGGTACTCGGATTGTCTTGAATGACATTCGGCACTGCGTAGCTAACATTCGGATTGGCTTAAATGACATTCGGCACCACTTACGTGATATTCGAATTGGCTTTAATGGCATTAGTATTTGCCCTAATGGCATTCGGCACTGCTTACGTGACATTCGGCGGGGACGGCATGCGCCACACGAGCACGCAATAAACATGGGCAGCGGATTACTTCAACACGATGCTTACGAACACACGGTACTAATGAACAGCGGCTATTCACTGACGCTCACGAAACTTAATTTAAGTAAGAATGAAGAGAATAAAGTTAATTTAAGTAAGTACGATCAGTGAACTGGTACGGATATAGAGCACGTGTGCATAGAAATCGAAAGAGCGCGTTTTACAGTAATATGTAAATATGGCGGATGAAACTAGGAAAAGGATCGAGGCAGCGAGATTAATGCGAGAAGCTGCAAAACTTCTTGAAGAATCAAATAAAGATTCGGCACAGCAAACCGAAAGAACCACGTCGGAGGAATTAAGCAAACTTTTTGCTCCATACCGAAGAGAAGCAACAAGTAATCGACAAACAGTTCAGGAAGCGAAACCACCAAAACCCAAGAGACAACGATGTAGTTGGGTTCCAATGTTTAACCCGTTGCCAACATGGACTCATCGATTTTGCCTTCTATCTGATAAAAATGCAAACATTGCTCCAAACATAACCGAAAAAGAAAAGTTAAAGGCAATGGGGCTTGGTGAGCTGAAAATAACCTTTGATAACAAAAAAGGCGACCATGCGTTTCTCACTCGAATCCTCGAAGAGAAATTTCCGTTGCTAAAAGAGGCTGGGGGATATTTAATTTGCCGGACAGCATCAGGAAGCCAACGCTTACAAGTTATCCCCCAGGGAAAAACGGCTATTCAATACCCTATTTACGGGATGAATCACCGTTGAGACAGGCAGTAGCCTATGTTCGCCCTCTGCAAAAATCTATTGACACAATAAATACATGCGAAGTTGAGGTAAGTTAATTTTTCATCAGCAACAATTTTTTCAATAATTCAGTGTACTCAGTCAATGTTTTATACTTTTGATAAATTTGATATACGTTATGCCTCACTCCCCCCTCACACAAGGGCTGAGCCCTTAGAAGGTACTTGTATTGGAGATAGGGCTTCAAGCAGTGGCGTAACTAGAACGATAATTGGGGGGGGGGTGAATATTCAAATAACCAGTTCTGCCCTACAGATTTCTTTTGTAATTGCAATACCTTACAATAGAAATTCGTGGGGTAGAACTGAATATATGAATATTCACCCCCCCCCAATTATCCTTCTAGTTACGCCACTGCCTTCATGGTGGGGTTATATTCTATGAAATAAATACACTCAGATGCATGTTTAACAAATATGTAAATAGCTAGGGGTTTTATAAAAATTATAGTTTAAATAATACACAATATATGTTGAAGAATTTTTAAAGTTAAGTACCTGAACATTATTTTGTAGTTGCAAATAATATATAAAAAGTATTCATTCAATATACAGTAGAAGTAATTATTCAGACTATTTGCATATATAATGTCAATAAAACTCATTAGACCCTTAGGGCATGGATAGAATACTACATTGCTCACCAGTTCAGGGTTTAGTTTACATCTTTACCTGGCTATTTGTCCAGCACTCCTTCTTTTGAATAATCTGGCCTTATCTCGATCTCACTGGCAGGAAGGCATTTGTTGCAGTGGATGTCATATCTATTCAGACTCTAGTCAGTTTAAATTAATTACCCTGTCAAAGTGTATTATTGACTCACTTTGATCATGTTGTTCTCAGATTTATGTCTATTTTATCCTATGTATATATTATGTACAACAAATACCTTGCCATAGTGATGGATATAAGGTCTATATCATATCATATATCATATGTTATCATATACATGAATTGCTTCCATATAAAATGCAATTTTATATGGAAAGTAGTATAAAGAAGAAATTTTAAGGAAGCCAAGTTAACCAACAATTTTAATTGTCATTTTTCTTTTAAGGCAAATGAAGCAATTAGTGGTGCCAATGATACAGATGGACCAACTGTACCATGCCTTAAATGTAATATGCAAATAAAAATTGATGAAGAGTCTATGTTAACTCATCAACGTTTTCATATTGAGGAGGAAGAGCAAGAAACTCAAAAGTATGACATTTATTTTCAGTTTTCTGTTTTATCTCTTCTGTTAATTTGCTGGAATTAAGCTTAATTGACCTACCACTAATGATGATTGTCTAATCTCAATTTTCTTTGTTTAGAAGACATTTAGTTGTCACAGCTACCATTATTCAAACCTAACATATACCTTTTTGGTAGCACCCTGCATTTTTTTCATCATCTTAAATTCCTAAAATCCTCATCATTCTATAAAATGCTGCTTATTACTTTTTCTAGTTTATCTGATAACAAAATTGATGGAGATGAAGAAAAAATCATTGATCACACTGGTGATGACACTTTAACCCGTAAGAACATCACTGATTTCATAGAACTTTTGACTAAAATGTTCCTGATTTCATTCGAAAGTTCACAAGTTCGTTGCGATCAGGGTCAAAATCTCACTATAAAATTAAAGATCTATTTCAAAAGCAAATGTTCTCATTGGTCCAAGGTTTAAAAGGAGACAGTGAAATGCATAGTTATAAAACAGATTGTTAATTTTATTATGAACTTGTTCATGAACTTGCGAACTTCTGAACGAAGTTTGTTTATATAATTTTTGTCAAAAGTTTTTAAATAATCTGTAATGCATACAAAATACTTATTTAAGAGGTATCATCTCACCAAAATAATATAACCATACATATTTAGCAATATAAAGCAGCGTGGCAGCATCTTCAAACAACTTAGCATCAAATGTGGTATAACAACTGCCTAAAATAGACAAAACACTTCTCGTCTTTTCGACCCGAGGGCCTTCATCATGAGAGAGTACATAGTGATTGACTCCAAATTTAAATTTGTACAAACTATAATTTTTATTTTCATAGAAGAGATAAATAGAATGCAAGAAATGTTTCCAAATGCACAGAGGCAAACTTTGTTGGAAACACTGAGGGCAAATGACTATTCGACAGAAGATGCAGTATCTGACCTCTTAGGTTTAACTGATGGTAAGTGAACATATGGCAAACATTAAAAGTAAAAAAGTATTGTTTATAGCATTTGGTTGGTATACTGTTGACAGTGCGAGTGATTTATAAAAATACATTGAAAGGCTGCATTATTATAAACATGCCTATGCTTATGTGAGGCTAAATTTGACCCATGATTTGACTTCGATCGAACTCATGTGTCGGCATAGTTTGTGCTTAACCGTGTGTTTATATCGCGTGGAACGACTTCGCTCTAACCGAAAAACCTAGCTTCAAATTTCTGGTTGCAGATAGCCTTCCATCTAATTGATTTAAATTATTCAGCCGTTCACTTGTTTTTGCGCTGCAGTGCTCTTTAATATTTGGAACAACTTTCGTACAAATCCTTCTCCTCGAGTAAAATTGGCGTTCGGCGCCGAAAAGAATGCTATAGTTAGCCTTAATGAACTCATTGCCAAAAGAGTAAAATTTGCTTGCTTTGAATTTTTGTTCTGTAGATACCTGTAAATCATCAACTGCGTCATCAATTGATGGGCAACTTGCAGCCTATGCAAAGAATGTAGACAAGGACAATATCAAGATATTGCACGTAGAAAGAGAATGCCTGTGGGAAAGAGCACTGATTTTTTATAAATGTACAGAACGCAAAGATTTATACCGGCATCTCAGTATAGTATTCGAAGGCTATGAAGATGCAATAGACGGTGGTGGTTTAAGGATCGAATTCTTTGGTGATCTCATTAGATGCATGAGTAATCGCTTGTTTGAAGGAGAAGATGGTCACCTTGTTCCAAGACATAGCTGGGACAATGTTAATCTCTTGCGTATGGGGGGCCTTATGCTGGCACACTCTATACTTCAACAAGGCCCCGGTATGCCATCATTAGCAAATTACATCTACGATTTTCTTGTGTATGGTAACAAAGAAAAGTCGGTTTCAGCTATCAAGCTGGATGACCTTCCGAACACTCCACAGAATTCCGATTTGACAGAATTCTTAAAAAAGGTAAAATCAACTAAAGTAGAATTATTAAAATGCAAAATAGAGAAGTAATCGGTTGTTTGTTCAGCTTAACTGGTCAATACAGGGCACGCATAAAAGACTTTAGAAGTTATTGATCAATGGAGACATTCTGTCGCGTGCACAATTTGTTGTCATTTTCGGTCGAAAAGTGGTAACAATTTTTGCGCGTAAATTCAAAAGTATAGAAAGTTTGCGAACTTTGCAAAACCATATTTTCTGCATTACACAACTGTCGCAACCAAACTTTGCCATTTTCCTAATTTTGGTATGCTCTTTCCGAGAGTATACCTCTCTTTGCCATTGTATAACACGCATATTGTCCATTAGGGAACTTGTTATGCTTACTATGTGTGATGCTTATCCTGAATCCATTATATCTCTTTGTTTGTTGAAGTATACTTTCACCGTTTACGAAATATCTCTACTATCATTTCAGATTGAAGATTGTACAGATGACGAGGAGCTTTCAAATTTACTTGACGAACCTAGATTTTCTTCCATTGTTGATAGATCTGGATGGCCTGTGGGGAGGGTTTTAAGTATAAAGTCTCGAGTAGATTTTATTAGTCAAATCCTGATCGAGGAGCTGTATGACAAGCGACTACCTTCCCTGATAAGCTTCAAAGAAGGCCTTGATCATTTTGGTCTAATAAAATTTATCCAAATGAGTCCCGATACCTGGAAGCCATTCTTTGTTGCAAACGATGGCTCCCAAGAAATATCTCTTACTGCCAAGAAATTTTTGTCTCTTGTTCAGTCAGACCCAAAGAGTGATGAGGAAAAGATTACATATTCTTATTTTGGAGACTTTCTCGAAAAGCATGAGAATACATCAGGTACATGACAGTTATGTTGGTGTTCCTGACAAAGAGTCTAATCAATAAGAGTCTAAGAGGAATTTTCCTTTAATTGAAACACCAACATGGCGGCTGTGACGTCACGTGCGTGTGCTCTATATAGGATTTGGTTTACGAAACCCAAACAGTACTCAATATCATGTAAATAACTGAATATTCGCTTCCTGCTCTACCTAAAACCTTACAGCCCCTTTCATCCGTATACGAGTTGCCAAGTTATGACTAATTTCGGAAGTTAAGTCGCTTAATACATTGAGTTTCTTGAATTAATTACTTTAGTCACTTGAGCCTGTTTTCCACTTCAACCGTATCGTAGCGAAGCCGGTTGAAGTGGAAAACTACAGGTGCCTAGGAAACTACATTGATTGATTGATAACTTATATTTTATTTGCAGAATGCATTCCTGCACTTGGCGGAAATTTTCCTGTTCTTTGTATTCTACTAAAGTACTGCACATCGAATCTTCGAGTACCTCCACTTGGTCTCACAACCAGCATCAAATTGCTGTATGGTAACAAAAACCTCACGATGCCTGATTCCGATACCTGTTTCAATATTTTGAAACTACCTGTGATCTATAATGATTACGGTGCGTTTGAGAAAGTTATGTTAGCCAGCCTACGTCATGCGTCGTGTTCGTTTTCTGCTTCTCGGTGACTTCAGATACTGCTACTGTACAGTAGGCAACAGCTAACTGTTTTACAATTCATGTTGACTAGATAATATTAATTTGTCTCAATGTACGTAACTTTGGTTGTTTGTAACAACTGAATATGCAGGGTTGTCATTGACATTGCTAAATATTTTAGCTTATTAGGTTAATGTTTATATTTTGTTAGAGTGCTTTCAGTTTACATGCATGTAGAACTGTCAAACCGGTCAGATATATTGAATGAAAAACAAACACAAGGGAACGAAAATTTTGGATTAATTCAAAACGAAGTCTATTCTAGCCAGATTTTATGAGACCTATTCCAAAAAGAGCAAGAGGCCTGTTACGAGTTACGCGAGAACGAGGCTATTCAGGTTTTCTGCAGTCAAAATTTTAAAATCATTTTTATATTTCTAAATTTTGACTGTAAAAACTTTGTTTTTGTGTCGCTTGCAACAGGTCCAGCGAAAAAGTGAGAAAAAAACAAATTGCTTTAAATTCAACAGAGAAAATCTGACTAGCCTCGTTTTTCGCGTAACTGGAAACAGGCTTCTTGCTCTTTTTCGAATAGGTTTATATGGTTTGTCTATGCAATTTTATACTTGGCCTGACCGGTCTAGCAACAGATCTTACCGATTGTTCTCCTTTACCCGAAGGCCTCGTTTCCATGTTAACTTATCTTAGCATGTCAAAGGCAGATAAAGATTATATTTCCATGTTTCCTGGACGGATTTGTCTGTTGCTGATCTTAGGCTTAATAACAAAGTAATTTTCAACCATACTAAGCATGAAACACGAGTATATGTATTTGACACGGAAACGAGGACACGAGGTGAAATGTGAATAAACGGCAAGGTCTATTAAATGGAAATCGCACTTGCAAGAAAATGTTTGGGGTTAAAACGTTGATAATAACATATACAAACGATATGTTCTCACTTTCAATGTTGATGATTTTCTACATATTGTTTACATTCCAAATATATATCACTGCCATAATTGTGACTTTGACGTAGCGGATCTATGGATTCCTTCATGTTTGTAAATTCATGTGCTTGAAGTGGATTTTCTGTTCGGGGGACCTCAACGGCGCAGGTATCAGGCTCTGTTGAGATAGGACCATCCCAGTCAACTCCATATAAATCCTAAAAAAAGTTTTAAGAGTTCAGTGAATTTTTGTCGTTCTACCGTGTTTTAATTATATTCTTTCACATTGAAAAAATCATTCTTTTGTAATGTTTGTTCTTTACTTGTCTTGGTTTTTGCATAGAAGAGAAAGCTGTGTTGTGTAATGCATGGCGGTTACAGTCTCCTGTTTTTGTAGTAACGCCAGTACTGTAAAAATTTCAAGACGAAATAATGTTTACCATAGTTACGTACATCTACTTCCCCTGACCGCCAAATATCTTGGGCAATTCGATTGTCACTGTTTGCAATTTCTAGTAGGCCTCTGATCCAGAGTTGGTTTGGACTAAGGTTATTTTCTGTACTCATTGGATGGGCATTCCATCCATTCACAAAGTTGCGAAGGGAATGTGATATTCTTGGTAAATAAACATAGTGTAAGCAAAAAAGGTCTAACTCGCTGTCAGGATTTAACAACCCACTACTTTCAAGGCTGTAGAATAGATGATAATACATATGGACACAACCGCAAAATAGATCTCTCCACAAACGCTCTATTCTTTGGTTGTGCACACTCTTGCCTGTAATCATGCTTCCCCGCCCGGATCCTCGTTCAGGGTGATGCAACATGTAATGGGCAACATCCACATTTTCTCCGCCTTTATCCGAACGGACACGAGACGGAAGTCCATGCTGATCAACGGCAGAAAGAAAGGCATTCAGGACTGTAGTCGCGTAGTTGTTTGTATTGCATTCTAAGAAAACAATTTTTCTGCTATAACCGTCGATCCCCCCGTGAATCACCATTCTCCATCTCAAAAGAAACAAACATATCCATGCAAAGTTGGATAAATACAACGAGTAATACCAGAGAAATACACTTACACCAACCTTTTCCCTTCACATACTGCAGGTATTGCAATTCCCTGCTGTGTAAAAGGCCATTTTTACCTGATGAGTTTGTGATATCCATCAATGTGCCAAAGTGATAAAGGAGATGATACATGATACGGCTGCCTTCTGATGACATTCAATTCAACTGCTCTCAAGAGAACACCGTCTGGATCCACTCTTCTTAAAGCTTCTCTGACACGCTGCTGCTGAACACTGATGCCTTTTACTCGCAAAAATCCTGTCAGCCTTCTGTAACCCACATTTGGAAATTCTTTGACAATATCTCGGACAACAGCATCTAAGTCGTCGTTATTAATCGATGAGAAAGTGGTATTTATAGAGATACCAAACTCATGAAGTCTCCTCTCAATAGTTCTTTTTCCGACATTTAACATTGCGGAAATTTGTGGAACGTTAAACCCAGAAGAAACCAAGAACAACAGCTGCTCTTTTGTAATTTTGTATGCTGGTCGTCCAGGCAGTCCAGTTTTCACTGTTGGAGCAAAGTAATTGTCATTTATCCCAGTATCAAATGACTCTATTATGCTAAGGCATTTGCTTAGCAATTCGTTGACCGTTGGTGGTACATCAATAACCGTTGAACAGTAAACCAAAACATGATTTAGATGATCAACTCTAAAAGCTAGGAAGTCATAGTCTGGTGGTTGTTCTGCATCGTTCTCCAAAACTGCTTCAATTTTTCGTATTGAGTGAATCAAATGATTAATAATGATGCTTCTAGGTTGTACAACATCCTAAGAAAGATAGTATATGTAGAACACCGCTACTTTTTATCTCCTAGTCTTCAAGGCTGTGAAAGGCTATCAGATTTCATTTTCTTCCATTTTTACCCTAGTCTGCATAGTTGCATCGCAAACGGTTTTTAAATATATGTAGGGTTTATAACGTACAGTACGTTCACCAAATAACAGAAGTTAAAGGAGTCACAGGTTAACGAAATGAGTTGGTAATTGTCTCATCGATCATTAAATTTTGCCCTTGTTCCCATGTGATTGACAATGTCCATATAGTATGCCGCTAGGCAAATAAAAAATCTGCCAGTATTCAATTGTATTATAAAAAAAGGAAACATAGGCTAAAATGCAAAAATATATATAAGGCATACCATTTATTACTTAGATGATTTAGAAGACATCCAAGGGTTTTTCGACAGGATTTCGTAATTAACACAACAGAATTTGAAGAAAAAATAGCGTGAAACAGTATAAAAACAATTTTGGAAACTTTATTAACTGAATATTGCAGCTAATATTACGTCCTTAAGAAGTTTTCTGTGATTACCCGCTGTTCAATTAATCCCGTGTGTTCGTAACGCTCTTGTTGAAATAATTCGCTGCCCCTGTTGACTGCGTGCTCCTGTGGCGCATGCCTTTCACGCCGAATGTCATTTAAAAGGCCAATCTGGGCCAATCCCAATGTTAGCTACGCGGTGCCGAATGTCATTAAGGCAAATCCTAATGTCATTAAAGCCAATTCAAATGTAACGTAAGCAGTGCTGAATGTCATAAATGCAAATCCTAATGCCATTAAAGCCAATTCGAATATCACGTAAGTGGTGCCGAATGTCATTCAAGACAATCCGAGTACCACGTGAGCAATGCCGAATGGCATGTAAGTGGTTGCAAATTGTGTAAGCTAATTTTGGCGGTGATCACCCTTCATAAGTCTGATGAGGTAATCATTGCATAAAATATTTTAATGTTCATTCACATTGAAAACAATTAATTTAGAGAGAAATAAATAATTATAGTTGTTTAAAATTTGGCATATCATAACAAAACAGACCTGTCAGGCTGGCTTTTCCATTGTGTAGATGTGTACTATATTGTTATTTTACTATGTCAAGAACTCCAATAAACTAGTAGAGTTTTAATACAAGATTTTTTACAATTTGGTTTGTGTAAAATAATCAAACTACACTCAAGACAGTTCTCCAAAAGCCTTCATCAAAGTGAATTCCTACAACTTCAATATCTTTAGATGTATAAACAATAAAATCACAAACAGACATATGAGCTAATGCCATACCCATCTGAAACTGAAAGTAATAACTGAAAGTAATTACACTGCCACCTATTTATTTAGTAAGAAAAGCTGACCAGTATATAAAAAGAGTGCTTCCTTCTCATGATCATATCCATATTGAGTACCCTGAGTTTGAACATGGATTTGATTTTCTTGCAAGAGGTTGTTTATTGTCTTACTTATGACAGTAGAAGGGCTGCATTCAATGGTTTTTTGTCTGGTATAAAGACCTTTTACTTTTGTACCAGTTACCATAAGATGTCTTAATTTTTGCCACTTATTGTTGTTAGCTCTTCCAACAGTTGCTGCATTTATAAAAGACTGGTCGGCCTTGGTGCATGTCAGTGAGGATACAAATATTTTGTAGGAAGCATTGACATCTTTACCAATTAATTGCTTGTTTTCCAAACAAATATTTTAGCCCTTGTAAGTATTTTAAATTGATTTAAATAAACAGGATTTTTCTTATCAGTCTTTTCATTAGAAGATCCTGGTACGAAATCCAAAACTGCTAACTCATTGTTAATATCCAGTAGTTTCCTAGCAAAATTAGCTTTTTCTTTTCCAGTTACAGTGCATCAAAGTCGGTTAGGCATTGAGTCAAATGAATGGATCTATGACTCATCAACTGGTACATATTTTCTTTTTCTATTAAATTTAATTGAATGAAATTTCATTTCCAGTAAGGGGAGTGGCATGTTTTCTGGTTTAGGTTTTGGACACCAGTAAGCTGGGAGAGATGTCACTGATGTTCATTCGCTAGACAGAAACTCTTACAGCTCGAACAAGGCTGCTCCCAAAAGCTTGCAATATTGATCAGAGCCTCCTTTGCATTCACAAAAGGCAGAAAAAATAGATTCCTTTTTACCCAGGATAAGCCATAGTTTATAAGCCGCCCTATCTTCTAGGGTTTTCTCTCTTTGTGTTGGCATAACATTGGCAATAATATGTACACAATATGGAGTGTCATCATTGTCATATACAAGTTTATATTCATAAAATGTCCATCAGGATGCTAGATTTCTTTGTCATATTCTGTTTTGCTGACAATCTAATGGGTAAATATATATAAAAAACCAAAATTTGGTGGAATGGACATATTCTTCAAGACAAACCGATGACCATGCTGAGTATAAATGAAGACTAAAGTGGGACGTGTAGATGAAGAAAGAAGGCAGCTTCTTTTATTTGGCAAAACAGCCGGACTATCCCAGTGTTTAATAGATAAAGGCATTATATTATTACATATAAAAAGGACGTGTTTATTTGCCTGTTGATTTCCATAAAGCTGTATGAAAATACTGACATTTCACCCTATTGTTTCACAATCAATATAAATATATGTTTTTTGTAGGTGCAAATGTAAAAATTGCAAGATCTATCTCTTGGTAAATGAAAAACAGGAGCGTTGAAGCGTTAAGTGGAGAACTTGTCTTACAAGAAGTTGGAAAGTCCCACATTGCATAACAATGCGCCCTGGTCGTTGCGTCTGTTTCATAACATAGATGGAAGGAGGTATAAGTGTTCAAGGTGATTAAAACAGGCAAGTATTCAACAATAACTAGTGGCTAATATGCATGTCCTTTAGCCATTTCAATTCAAACATGATAATTTAGAATAAGTTCTCAATACTTCACATTGATCTATATTGTATATGCTTATGATTTCCAAAAGACAAAGGTTTGAATGTTTTAACATGCTCATTTACCAATTCCAGCACTGTTATTTTGGGTCCCAACTCACAGTTTTTCATCAGGCACCATTTCACATGCCTCTCCTCCGACCTATTTATTGCATCTCATGCAACTGATGTGGTTTACTATATATCGGTGAAACTAGAAGATCTGTAAAGGTAAGGTTTGGTGAACATCGTAGGTTAGTTAACAACCACGATAACACCAAGCCTGTTGCCAGAGACTTTACCTCTGATAATCATTGTGTTACAGACATGAAAATTAGAGTCCTCTGCCCCATTTCCAATACTAACGATAGCCCTAAACGACAAGAAATGCAACTCATCCACAGTCTTGGCACTCTCTATCCCTCTGGAATAAATGAAAGACTCTCTTTCATTTAAGCTACTTCACCCCTAGTAATATGACTACCATTTCTTTGTTTATGTCAAAGCTGGTTGTATCAATTCTGAAAAATGATTGGTATAATTCTGAAAAAGTTTAAAAAACGGCTCACTGCCCAAGAACAGTACTCAAGTATGGAGTTCATTTTGAATATGGGACCATTGTACAACTATGTTGTGTGAAAAACAAAAGGAAGCTTTCGTCCAAATGTTACTTTGGCGCTGTTAAGATTGTGTCTAAATGTGCCAGAAAAGGCTTTTCTATGCCTGCCCGTTTGTAGCAATATTCAATATGAAAATATTTATTCAATTTAATCTAATATATATTCAATACTTTGGAAGTGATTTAATTTAATACAATTTTTGCAATCAATTTAATAATCCATAAATGTTCAATTCAATCCTTGAACAATATTCAATACAAAATATACTTTTAGCATAATGTTTATAAGGAATATTTGGCCTAGAATTGTTTAATCTAAAATATTTATTTAATACCGCAATTCATTAATGTTGAAAATATCCATTCAATCTTTCAAAATTCATTCAATAATTGGGACTGGGCTGAATGCACGCCAATCAGCTATTAATTATTCTAATTTCCGCCGAAAGTACAGCAAACAACATGGCTGCCTTGCATTGAATGCATTTAATTGAGATCACTAGTGAGATACGTCTAAAAATGGGAAAGGAAACGATATCAAAAGCAGCTGAATTGCTTCAGCAAGCTTCTACAATGTTGCTATCAGTAGATGAAAATTTAGTTGAATCTAATTCTCCTACAAAAAGGCCACAGAGCAGCTACGAATGTGCATGCTGCGCAAGTACCTGTAACAGCTGTAAGTCCACGAACACTTAATACAGCTGTGCCTGAGCTCAATGATGGCATCCAGTTCCGATGCTGGCTTGTACAGACATCTAAATCAAAAGAACGACTTCGCGCAGCTGCTGGAAAATCTTACTGATCTTCGACTTCGTCCCCACAGGCCAGCTGAAAGCTGTCAAGATGAAGTAAGAAGGAAAAAACTGTGCGAAATTCAGAGAAAAAACAGTTTGAATATGCATTAATTCGACAACCCGATATAGAGAGTGATGGAGAAGGGTGACGATACCTTGAGAAAGGATAACATTATTAACAGAAGTATTATTACTTTAAATTCTTCTGACACAAAAAAAGTCATAAGGGATAAAACAGTTTCATCTTTTAAACCAAAGTATCCATTGCTTGAAAGTCGAGATATCGAATTTGTAAAAGTGGTTCAAAAAAATATTTCCGTTCTTCAGAAGGCACACAGTACGATTACAGTGTTGTAAAAAAATTGGCTGGGCAAGGGCTTCTGTACATTCACATAAAACAAGCAATGCAGTTTGCTATTGATGATAACATTTAGATTAAAGAAGATCTTGAAGATAATTCCCATTTGAAGAATTCCCCACTCCATTCAACCAACCCACAACAACAGTTTTACCAAGTGATGGTCGCCATGTTGTTCGGACGTGTGTTTCGTTCGCTCTGTATTTTCGCCGTTTTGTTTGTCATTTTTTGGCTGATTGGACTTGTGGTACATTCATGTTGTTCTAGTGAATGTTCGCTGAAAATAAATTCTGCTAACATTAACTTTCATGTGGAATATCGTTGGCATTTTGCAAATACTAATCTTCATGTGGTATATCGTTGGCGTTGGTGAGCTTTAGCAAACAAATATCGATTACGGCATTCTGTTATTAAGTCTACTAAACATGGCTCGACAAGTTTGGTTTTGGCATCTCGGCCTTTTGTTTTGGATCTTACCGTTTGTATGGACATTTCAAGAAATCCAGGCCCAAATAATGTCGCTTATGTATGTACGAGGTTGAATATTGCTCACAATTTTACTTGTGGGTCACCTTCGACGTTGCGGTCTGGTAATTTTGATTATAATTATTTGAGACTTTCGTCCCTTGGTGGTGTCATCGGAAATTGTGTTGGAAGCTGGCCTTTTTACTTTCGTGTTAATTCTCATTTTTACAATTCGCTTGGCATGAGTTTGGCTGAAACCCACACTCGTGGAATACCTTCAACATCGTCGATACCTGTTATTGTACGTGAACGGCCAGCCATTGTTGCTAAACCTGGAATTCGTACCCGAAATAATTTATTACAAATAAATCTGAATCGATTGCCCTCTGACTGTCAAAAAAAACCCACAGGGCCAGTAAAGTTTTGTGTATGGAACTGTCAGTCTGTAAGAAATAAGACTGCCTGCTTAGTAGAGTATATTAGTGCAAAGAGTATTGATATGATCGCGTTGACAGAGACTTGGTTTAATGAATTTGATGCAGCTGTTAAAGCTGAATGTATTCCAAACGGTTATAAATTACTCGAGAACTCGCGACTCAATCATAGAGGAGGCGGTGTCGCGTTAGTATTTCGGAATAATATCTCGGCAAAGAAAATTGAAGTTATTTCAAGGGAATTCTTCGAAGTTGGAGAGTACGTGCTTACAAGTAACTCTTGGCGAGTGCGATTAGCTGTTGTGTATAGACCTCCTTCTTCGTGTGTGAATACATTT